CAAGGGCACCCTGCTGGCTCATGGTCAGCTTGTCCCCCACCAGGACTCCCAGGTCCCTCTGGGCAGAGCTGCTTCCCAGCAGGTCAGCCCCCAGCCTGGACTGGTGCATGGGGTTTGACCTCCCCAGGGGCAGCACTCGACACTCAGGGGAGGCAAGGGGGACCCTCAGGGTGGCAAAGGGGTGCCAGGGACCAAGACCACATGCCCAACACACTCATGGCACAAGGCCCCCCTAAACTGGCTGATCTGGGGGAGAGGAGCCTGCCGTACCTAGGAAAAGCGCCTTTATCGAGCACTTGCCCTCCTGCACCCCCAGGCCCAGCACTCAAATCCCCCCAGGTCAGGCACCTTAAAGTCAGGAAATACTGCAACACCCGGACAGCCTCAATTCTTCTGCTTTGAGTCAAAAATCAAAGCCATGCACTGGAGGAGGGGTTGCACTTATTTCGGGTGACTACAAGCAGCGCCTGCTTGGGAAGATGCCACGGGCAGCTCTGCTCTCCCCTTCGCCCCCAGGAATTGGCTTGGGGCTGCAGCAAGACCAGATCAATGTACCGCTCCTCTAGGTAAAGCCTTCATAAAGCTCAAACCCTCTATTTTTTATTTAAATAAAGAAAAGCACAGGATTGATGATAAAGGCCGCGGCTGGGACGAGAAGGCAGCTCCGTCCCACCTCGCAGGCTTGCTCTGTGCCCCCCACTTGGAGGCGGCCGCTTCTCCTGCTGCCATCAGCCTTCCCCTCCCCGCCTAAGCCCGGTTTTATCTTTCTGAGCAAGGCTTTGGCTGCTGGGGTTAAGTCCCAGCCCCTGCAGGTGGCTTCATTTTGTGAAGAAGCTCCCCAAAACCACACGGGGGTCGCAAACGGGGGCGTGGGTGCCGTAAGGACGTGAGCACCGAAGAGCTCCTGCCCCGGCTCACCCAGGAGGGCTCAACCTGAGAGCAACGTTGGGGCAAAAATAAAGTTCTCCGTACGGGCCCCAGGGCACGCACCTTGCTGCCAGCAAGGGTGCTTGCAGGAGGGGTTAAGGGGAGATGCCAGGGAGCTGCTGGTGGTGGCTGGCAGGCCACCAGCTTTTGGGAAGGACGTTCTTGGGCCATTTGCCTCTTCCAAGCTTCCCAGAAATCTGGTAAGCAGATTTGCAGCCTACATGCTCGCCAGATGAAGTCACTGCCCCAGAGATGCCTTTTGGATGATGAGACCAAAACCCTTCAAGCTTCTCTCTGAGGAGCCGAGCCATCAGAGCCCAGATATGGGGCTTGAAGGACCGATGGGCCCCGGGTGCCACGCAGCCCCCCCGGACACCCACGTGCGTGGCATTTCCCAGCACCGCACAGGAACGTTTGCCCGGAGGATCAGTATGGGATACGCCAGCTCCATCGATCTCCCTTTCTTGCTCGGGGTATTACGCAGCCCTGAAGCTCGGCTCTCCACAAGGGTGGGATGGTTTGGGTTTTTTTGGAGGTCTCCAAACCAAACTGAAGCCCTCACGCCACGCGCTCCCGGCTTCCACCCCCAAAATCCCCTTAAGCGCTCCTGTAATGGCACTGTCCTCAGCAAGGAGGAGGCTGCCGGTCACACATCTCCACCGAGCCTCCAAGGGGCTGCAAAACGCAGGTCTGGGCCCCTCCTCCCTGGGGACCCAAGCTTAACTCACCTCCCTGAGCCTCCAAAGCTGCAGGCTCTGCTCTGAGGAAGGCAGAAGCTTTCCTCCTCCTCCTCCTCTTTTTCTTTCTCCTCTTCTTCTTGCCTGAGCCCTGCAGAACCCCCACTGCAGGGATTTGGGATTTATGGGGTTGCCCCAATGCATCACCCCCAAGGGCACCCTTCATCCCTGGGTGCCCCCAGAGGGACCCCCTCAGGGGTGGCTCCCCCCACAGAGCCTTTCCCACCCGGGGTGGACACGGCACCCTCAAGACTTTGTGCCAGAGAAGGAAAATCCCCCAGGGAAGCCACTAAAGGCTTTCAGTAATTAGCAATTAGCAGCTCTGACGAGCTCCCCCTGGCCTCCCTGAAAGCAGCTGAGCCTGATACTAATGAGGTTTCTGGCTAATTATAGCAGGCGAGCGAGGCCATGCTGCCTCCTGGCCTCAGCGAGGGGGTTGGGGGCTAAAGGCGGGCAGGGACCACACTGACTTTTGGCTGAGGACCCTTTCTGATCCCCTGGGTTACAAAAACCAGCGCTGGGGTTAACTGAGGACAGCGCTCCCCGCTGTGCCCAGCGCTCCTCTATTCCCAGAGGCTGGGAGCGCCAAAGGATGCTCTTCCCGGCGGCCGGCTGTGCTTTCGGCTTGCAAGCTGGTCCTCTCTCGTTCACCATTTTGAATAATTCATGCCAAATAACGTGGGTTTCTGCCGTGCCCGGCATTGCACCGACTCGGAGCTGGGGCCAGCAAGGCAACACAGCCCCTTGGCTGAGCTCTGGGGACATCAGGGGCTTCACTGATGTGCTCAAGGACATCCAAAACCTGTGGCATGGTGAAAGGTTCAAGCGCACCTCCAGCATCAGCATCCCCACGGGGTTTCAGTCCCTCCGGAGCTGGGCTGCTAACCCAGCCGCTGGGTTTGGGGCTGGCGAGCGAGGCCGAAGGCTGCGGCTTCGGAGCTCCCGGGCTCTCCTCTCCTCGCCCCAGCGGCTCTGCGGTCGGGCTGGCTCTTGGCTGAGCCGGGTCCCTGCTGTGCGGCGGCAGCAGCCAGCTCAGCACCTCCCGAAAGCAGCCCTTTCCCGGCAGCGAACACCCGCCCCGGCTGCCAGACCACAAAGCCTCAAGCCCAGCTCAGAGCGTTCAGCTCGCTCGGGAATGCCAGAACAAATCCTCAAATTTAAACAACAAAACCCGCCAGCCCTCGCTTCCCCTTGGCCAGGCTCCCCAAACCCCGGCTTCGCTCTCGCCGGCCGCAGAGCCCTGAGCGAACCAGCAGCCCCCAGCGGCAATTCCCACCGCAGGTAGTCAGGGCTTTAATTACAGGTGCTGGAAAGGAGCAATCCCAAATTGCTCTCTTGGCCTGGCCGCTCGACGGGGTTCGCCTTCACCCCGCGGGAGGGCTGTGCGTCTAGGAGCAGAGGTGGGATTTAATGCAACCCTTGGGGATGCAATGAAACCCTCGCCTCCAGCCCTTGGCTGGGCACGAGCAGCCCCGGGAAACCTCTCTGGGAGCTCTAAGAGGGGCAGGGGCACCCCTGCGGGTTTCGGAGCAGGGAAAGGAGGTGGGATAAGCAGTTTCCCTGGGCTGCGACGCTCCGGAGGAAGCCTATATGTTTATATAAATATATACATGTCGTGTCTACGCTCCCCGGGCACGCACCTCTGCCCATTGCTGAGGGATGGAGGGAGCCAGGAGGGCACGTGGGGCTGGGGCACGTGGGGTGGGGGCAGAAGGCAAGGGAGGTGCCCAGCCCTAATTTAAAGGGTGTATTCCCCGCTGTGCCCCCCTTTGCTGCGGTCTCCCCGAGGGGGACCCGGCAGGATGGAATAACCCCGTCCCTTGCGCTCGCTGGCACGAGGGCACGGCGCACATTTGCTAACTTGGCTTTTATTTCCGCGCCTTTGCTGCCCCTTCTCTGCACAAAAAGACCAATTCCCAAGCCACGGGGGTTTTCCCCTTTGGGGACGGGGCAGTTCATAAGCAGACAAGGGGGTCCCTGCACGGAGCATCACTCGCACCTCCCGGCATCGGTTCCAGCGCATCCGTGGCTCAAATTGCCACCCAGCGGCTTTGCCCGTTGAGCCGCAGGGCAAAGGCACTGATGGGAGAAGCTGCCCCTCTCGGAGGGAGAAGCGGG